AACCAATTTTTATAACATAACTTTTTATATTTTATCTTTTCTTGCACATTATTATTCCACCACCAACTATTTTTATTTGTAAATATTTTTCCCTTTGATTCTCCAAGAACATCTTTTGCTACATGTTTAATAGCGTTTGTTACTTTATCCCACATCACATTTGCTTCTTCATGAATATCCCAAATTTTGAAATCTTGAATTTTACTCATAAAATTAATTTTATTTGTATCTTTTAAGTTTCTCCATCTAATTCTGCAATGATGAGTCCTGGTATTTTTTATTTTACAACTCTTAATCTTAAAATCTAAAACTAATAAACGATGTTGGGTATTTAAATTTTCACTTGGAATGACTTTACAATCTTTACAATCATGACGATCTCTTCTTCTCATAAGAAAATAATCAATTTGTGTTTTATTAGATCCACTCTTATAAGTAATAAGATGTTCATCCCTTTTCTTGAATAAAGTATTAGTAATAACAAAATCAAACGCTAAAGCAAAATCTAAAATAACTTTACCTTCTTCATTAGTTACTCCAAAATTGTAGCCACCATGAATATTTCTGAAATCTTCTACCACTCTACCGACATGTCCATTTAAATCTCTTCCAATAAAAATTCTTTCTTCAAGAGGTATCATTTGTATTAAGTCTTCTAAGTCATTCCAAAATTTATCTTTAGACCCTGTATCTAAACCTACTTGAGGAGAATAAACGCTTATAATATTAAAAATCTTAGTATCAATGATAATCTTAAGGGCTATAATTCTATCACCAACTCTATTAATTTTTACAACATTATCTTTCAAACTCTTATCTATAATTACACCTACACCATTTCTAGTGCGACTCTTACCAGAATACCAAAGTTTAAAACCTAAATTATCAATCTCCTTAGCCTTTTCTCCCACCCACTTAGTTTCTTGAATACATAAGATATTAATTTTCCTATGAATCATAATATCAACTAATTCCATTAATTTACCATTGAGAGTGCCTATATTCCAAGATCCTATCCTAATATTAGTTTCATTAGTTTCATGGACTAACTTCTTTACCCGCATTCGCCCGTAATGTGGGAACCCTTGCTTATTTAACACTACACCCGGGCGCCGGTGTAGCGGCCCTTGCACACTTTTCACTGTATTCAGGCTATACAGCGCGTCGCTTCCAGGGGACGCCCTAGCACTTACACAATGATCAAAAGGATTCATGTCATGATTTTTTCGACAAGTTTTACGCTGGCGGTCGACTACCTAACGCAACCCTCCACTTTTCTCATCCGGGCTTGGGACCGGCAACGGCAGTGTTCTAGATTTTGTCGAACTAAATCACCACAAATCTTCTCACAAAAGGCTGAAAAACTTGATTCATTAGGCACGTAAATGTGCTCGGAGTGTTATAAAGCCTGAACAACATCGTCAGCCACTCATAAAGCCCATCTCTTGACTTGAACTTTGTTTTACACTCATCCCTATGCCACATATGTATTTGGAGGTGCCCACTTCGAAGATTTATTTTGGAGAAAACAACCACTCGTTTTAGTTGATAAAAAAGATCATCCAATCGAGGAATATGAACCAATATTTGATAGTGATTTTATTTTCAACCAAACTGCCAATGCACATGCACTATGTCCCATCCTTCTTTCGAACCAAGAGAGCTGAACCGAACATGGGCTTGCATTACATGCAAGCATTTGTGGATCAGCTCATCCACTTGGTGTTGAAGTTATTTGTGCTCCTTTGGAGACTAATTATATGTAGGTTTGTTGGGGATGACCGAACCAGACACAAAGTTAATGACATATTGTGTCTCTTGTAAGAGGCAATTCTGTAGGAATCTCTGCGGGAAATATATGTTTGATTTGTTGTATCAATCCTTGCTCTTCGGACGGAGTTGGCGGTAGCTGTCCGTAACTCTCGGTTATGATCAAGAGGTACCTCATAGTTGTCTCTTTAAGTTTTTTCAAAATCAATGGAGTAAAAGTATTGATTTTAGTCCCCACTTGAATCTCTTCCTTTATAAGCATCAAAGTGGTTTGAATTCCTCTTTGATAAAATAATAAGTGTTAACATAACCATCAAGAATTGTACAACGATCATATTATCAAGACTGACTAAATAATATGTGACAAGGGTCCATAGAAAATAAAACCCGTTCCTAAAGTTTTCAATCGATCGAAAATGACACCATGCATTGCCCGTTGACTTTAATTTCAACCCCTTATGTCACATGAGTTGGTAAGGATGGTTATGAGGTTGAGTAGTTAGCTCAAGCTTTTACAGTATAGTTGCTGCAACCACATTCTCTAACTTATACCACTGATGATAAGGTTATAAACCTTGTTCGAAACTGTGCACTGGAATCGAAAGATGTTCTGTCATAACCAATCTTTATTGGAATATTGTTCGACACTTGGGAGACGTTTTATCACTAGTAATTCCCCTTCATCCTCATGTATAATTTGGTCTTTCGTTGGATTAGTATATTCTTCTACTACATCATTGTTCTCTAGATCAATCTACTTCAATGAAATAATGCCACAGTTAGGACAACTTGAGACTATGTGGCCTAACCCATGAAATTTAAGCATCGTATACTAGATGTAGTTCCTTCCCTCGCTGTAGTAATAGTCCCTCGCGGCTTGAAAGTAGTTTTGTTGTTGTTTTGAACATTTCGACCACTGGCCTCTGTCCGTAATTGGATTGATTTGCTAGAACCTCGCAAATCATTGGTAGGAATGCATATTGTGGTGTTCCTACCCAATTTTTGCTACTTTTTAACCTTTATAGCCAAGTTAATCACGTTCTATAATTTCCAAAACAGTTGGAGATGAACCACATTAGCGATATATAGTCATATGCCACCCAAAAAATGTGCATTAGTGCACCTTTTGGGTTCGAAAAGATTGCATTTCAGCTGAATTCGACAATATATTCCACCACGATGAATGTTATGAAGCTGGATGAAGACTTATTATAGGTAATACCCGGGTAAGAATTTTCGTTGCATTTTTTTCTTTATTTTGGTCCAAGACGTGATCTTGAATCCTCTCTCTCTTTTTCGAATCCTCATTAAGTTTTCCCACCAAAATAAGGTCTTCTTCAATTTGATCGTCACTGGTTCGACGATATGTTCTTGTGACACCTTCTTGAATTTCATAATTCATTCAACTGTATGTAGCTGATTGACAAATATATTAGGATCCAATCTTCCATCAAAATTAAGGTCGAGAGATTTCCGTTGATTTTCACGCCTCAACGTATGTATAGGTTGTTCATCACCATTAGATGACTCTTGATGGAATGAATTATCTTCTTCCTCGCTCATTTTCGGATTCATTTTGACATATTTTTGGATCTCACCATTCAAGAAGCGCCAATCTTATTTGTAGACGATGAATTTCTTGTTGCAATTCTTCCACAACCAAATATTTGTCATTGGTTTTAGTCATTGGAAAGAGAAGGCAGGGAGGCCAACAATGAAGATGAAACCGTAAGAAGACAGACAACAATGAAATCAATAAGCAAATCAGAGACAGATTTCTATCCTCTTTGAAAGAAAAAAACAAAATGAATGCGCAAGAATTGGGGAAAGGAAAAGAAGACTGCACAAGAACTCAGAGAAGGAAGAGAAATGATATAAAAGAATCGTGTTTTGATACTATGATGATATCATAATAAGGCAAAATTGAAATCTGCAGTTTCAAAAATTCCAAAAAAAAGGAGAAAGCTGAACCGAAAATCTCAAGAAAGAGTAAGAATACATTTACTGAAAAGAAAGATGGCTGGTTACCACCTGGGCACCATTCCAGAATACTAAATACATTTCTTAATCCGAAAGAATATGAAAGGTTATTACAACCAATCAAAACTCTCCTGTCCTTTCTAACATACAAGGTAGCCTTACATAGGCAATCCCATTACAAAAATAGAAAACTAAGGAAAAAAAAAACTTACTTACAAGTATGACACTAGTAAACACATTCGTAATTTCGGCTCCTACATCACAAACACTAATAATAGGTTATATACAATTATACTAATATAATCTCATGTAGGGTAAAGCTTGAGTGTTCACAAATGGTTAAAATTTTGATTTATTATCCGTGTAATCCGACTTAAAACCAAGGTTGATTTTGAGATTAATTATTCAACAGCCTTTTTCCCTTGGGTCTATGAGGATCTTTTGAATTACATAATTTATGCCTATTGAAATTAATGGTCTAGTTAGGTTTCATCTACTTTCTTTTAATGAGTATATCAGTGCCTTTGACATCGGTGCATCATTCTCTCTCCATTTTGTTTGAGCTACGAGTGTCTATCTTTCTCTCCGCTAACCATTGCTGTAGGCCAAATCAGATGGAAATCCATTGTAGTAAACAACCGTATATCCTTCGCACAAGCAAGCACAAAAAAGTTCTCTCGTGAGTGAGAGGGTAATCAGCCATAAGAGTTTGCATTTATGGGATGTTTTGAATTTGAAATATGAAGTTATTTCAAGGATTAGATTTCTTTTGGACGCTATATCTATTATCTAGCTCAGACTAAAAACCTTCTTCTTTAACAATCAGGTGGAAAGAAAAATGTGTCTTTGGAATGGGTGATGTAGAATACATAATGATTGTTTTTTTCCTTTAGGGCCTTTTCATTTTATAATTGAAAGCCATCCTACAAATTTGTGCATACTAATCACATAAAATCTATCCAGCTTTCTCACCAAGATTGAGGGAGCTTTCATAAATTCTAGAACTCCCACCTTGCTGAAATCTACCTTCCACTCTATGAAGGAGAAGTCAAACTCTACTTTCTCTCCTAATTACCAACTTGCCGAAATCACTGCTTCTTCACTTTGTTCTGAGCTTAAACATTATGAATCGAAAGAAATTACATGCATGTCTAGACTTGCTTAAATGTTGACATTTGTTGTCATGCATTAATGCCCACTGCCATCCAGTCGTATTGATGTAGCTGCCACTATTTTTCTATGTTTGGCAGATGATTGACGATCAGGACTTGGGCTTCTTTGCAAACTTCCTCGGGATCTTTATATTTGTATTGGTCATTGCTTATCATTACGTGATGGCTGATCCAAAATATGAGGGCAATTGAGTCAAAGAATTTCTCCGATGCGGGAAAATATAGAGGCTACTTTTAATGATGTTTTAGATGTTCTGCTTATCAAAGTTTTAATGCTTTCTATTGTACTGCACCTGAATTATAGTGAAATTTTCTTTGCTCTAATGTAGTTATTTAAGCAAACCATAACTGAATTGGACCTTTCTTTAAAAAAGAAAAAACAAGCAATAAGCATTATTTTTTCTTTGTTATTTTTTCAAGATGATGTTTTTTTCCGTATTTATTTATATATTCTTTTTCCATGATAATGTGTCAACATTCTTATTGTGTCTCACTGTAACGAGCGCTATTTACGTACGTCATACGCACACAATTCTGCGTGCATATAACCCCGAGTGACCTTTTAATAACCCAGTTATTAGGAGTATTAACCCCAATAATATTTCAATAACCTCCCAATAACCTACCAATACATTCTGCGGTTCGACACTCATGTATTTTTCCTGTCATTGGAGGGTTTCATAAGGTTACTGAAGGTATTAATCCCAATAGCAGCAACATAACCATGCAATACTCTTCAAATAACCTTCATAAACACGCAATTATGCTTTGTGTATGACATATGTAAATATTTTTCCACTGTAACATGATAAATGAGAAAAAAAAAAAAGATTTGGGATGCCCTGAATCAAATGATGTCGATTTGATTATCTCGTTATATGTTTAGGTGAATTCTTCCTGTGTTCTCTCTTTTTTGGTTATTGGCTTGGTTGGCAGAGTGCTGATGCATAATACTTGTACTGTTCTAAGAAAAATACTCATCATGTTCCCATTTAAATTTAACATAGAATAAGCCTTTATAATATATGATAATTATTTCTTTTTGACAAATACTATATTTGTATAAATAAAAAAAATAAATTAATTAAGAAAAAGGTGTCATTTTGAATTCAAATTATGTTAATTCTATCAATAATCACGACCATCATCCCTAAATTTTGCTCTTCATCATTATTGACCACTTCCTCTTCCTACTTCATTCTCTCCAACCATAGGAGTATTCTATTTTAAATTAGTGTTCTATATTAACTGATATGAGCATCCCTATATCTTGATTCATGTCAAAGATCCTAAAGTCTGAGAAGCCACTATGTGTTTCTAGTGTGAAATAAATATTTTTGAAGTAATAAAATACATTAATTTACTATTAAAATACTCTAAATAATTTTAAAATTCCTTTTGGGCCAAAATTTTTTATATTTACTTTTATTTTTAAATATAAAAAAGAAATCAATACACTTATTATTGATAAGGTTACGATCTAATCTTTCAAAAGTCTTTCCTCTCGTCTAAGTAAAAAGTTTACTCATTTATTTCGCTTCAATCAGACCAGTCTTAACAATGTTGTCACATAATGTTTACATCAAGTGGACGAAGGAGGTCTACTTGCCTTTTTTTTTTTTTTTCAAAGGGAAGGCAATAGAGTTGAAATCACCCCCAACCATCCAAGGACTGTGTAAATTGGCAATTCAACAATTTAACACAAATGTAAAAATTGTGGTTTATCACATAACTGAAATTCAACCTCTTTTTCCAATGAAACCAGATTTTAAGATTACAGTTGTAAACATACTTGAAATTACCTAGCTTTCTCATTGTTTTAGGAATATTGTTTTCAACAATCATAGGCTCCAATAAAGTAAAACATCTAAGCTTGTGAATCCGACCGAGATTTATTAATTTGTTGGAGGCAGCAAACATAGCAATACCTCTAACATTCTAAATTAGTAAATTAATCATGACTAATGGATCTACTCCGCCTAGATGTGTATGTACGTATGTATATACGTATATGTATTATGGATGGTTTGCATGAGTTACTCTCCTTTTTTAGTGCTATGGTTTTTTAGGATCTTCTGGATGACTATTTTTTTGATGATATGCATAGCTGACGCACGAGCTCGATATTACATGGGTTAAAGACAACCAACCAATAACCTTTTTTTTTTTTTTTAAATAAGGTTTGATGTCTTATTGTAGTGACAGATTTATTAATTTATATATTGAGTTTTCTTAGACTTCATAGCTGCATAAAGTTTTAAATAATTAATTATGTTATTAATTTTTACTAGTGTTATATCTAAGGGTAAGTGTTTTTATGTCTTTAAGAAAGATGAGTTCAAGGATTTCTGAGAGTGAATTACATTGCTACTACAGACTACAATGTTCCATGCTAACTTCGTGTCACATAACTACGTGAGACAGTTTTACGGTTGCCCAAGGAGAATCATAGAAAACTAGCTTTTTTATGTGATTAGATGGGCTGAAAGATTCCACCGCTTAGAGTGATCGTTCGTGAAGAGTTTCTTGGAGAACGACTTATCTCGTGACATACACCCTCTGTATTTAAAAAATAAATTTTTATATTATTAAATGTTATTTTAATAGTCATTTTCTTAATTTTAGTAGTCATGCTACTCACTGTTTAGTTAAGTGTTTATCTTTAATTTGTTATGTTCTGCACTAGATATTTGCTTTGAAGTGTGAGATGTACTAATATGAACTGTTATGTTGCAAACATCATTATACAAGGGCATAATAATTATTTATCCAGAAATAGCTACAGCAAAACTGATTTCAAACTGCAAAAAACAAACATACAACCAGTTTATCCATAGCAATATTATGTCACAGCTGCTGTGCAACAATTTATTAATACATTTCTAGATTCTAAAAAAGCTGAAATGATGGAAACAAAAAGTAAAACTCCTTTCAACCAAACAATAATTTCTGTAAATTATTACCTTATTGCAAATTTTTAGAGCAAAAAAATCGCTACGACTATATCTTCCATATAAACTTATAGAAAAAAAATTATATTAAAAGATTTCTAATCATTTGCTTCAATTTTTTTTAGATGATATATTCAGACATGATCTTTTTCTTCTCCATCAAAAGCTAAACCATTTGAACCACCTGCGTTCATCTCAGGCTTTGTCAAATCTCTATTAATCACATTTTATTAAAGTTAAGGTTAAACAATTAAATTAAGAAAAGAGTTCCAAGAATATAACATAATAATACAAAATATCATACAAAATTTAAGCGAAAGGAACAAATCCACACATAAGAATAATTATATTATACAATTCTAAAAGCTGCGTACTGTAATAAGACAAAATATCATACGTAGAAAGAATGTTTGGCTCAATAACAGAAAAAAATTCAGTCATGTGAATACTAAGAGTGCGTTTGGGGCAGCTTGTGCTTATTCAGATAAGTTGTTTATCTGAAAACACGGACCACGGGGGTCGACCTGCGTTCCACATTTAGTGTAAAAAACCAACTGTGTTTTCGGATAAGCTGCTCAAACACAGTTTTCGAACGGTGAATTAAAAGAGAAATTTCTTAGAACAATAATTGGGTAGCCATAATCACTAAATAAAAAAGTCAAAACTTGAGAAGCATTCCGTTAACAATAATAATACCATTTTATCTTATCAGCACAACATCACACAACACAACACAACACAACACAACACAAAGGAGCACAAGACATCAACGCTGAATTGGCTCAAGGAAATAATTCAAGGAAGATTTACATACATACAACCCAATTCTTACCTAAACTTTAATTTTTTACAGTTATACCACCTAGCATGAAAAGATTTATCTTTTCAAAGTTAAAGTAATGATATTTTTTGATGTGATATAAAAGATTTGGGCAGAGCAAAACTAAAACAAAGTAAAGTTTAGGTGGTAGATATATAAATTCATGGAAATTGGGTGATATGTATGTAAATGCCCCAAAATTCAAACATGAAAGGCAAAAAGGCAGCTAATAAAACCTCATAGAAAAACTTGAACCATAATCATCGAAAATTTAAATTATTCTTAAACAAAGAATAAAATTAAGACAAGACCATAAACATAGTCAAAGCTGCCTTCAGGATTCTAATAAAACAACTCCATAGAAAGAAAAATTCAAAATAAATAATACATATTCCTAGGGGTGAGCATAAGGTCGATTCGGATTGTTCGGTTTTTAAATAGAGCAAACCGACTTCAACCGAAATCATAAATCCAAAATACCGAGCCAAACAAAATTTCGATAAAACCGAACCAATCAAATCGAGGTTTAATTTGATTTAAACGGTTCGATTTTACATAACCCGAAACATAATTTAAAGATATAAAATTATGAAGATCACTAAGTGAGGATTATGTAACGTTGATCACTAGGAAATTTACCTCTAATCTAAACATTTCAAGGAAATATTACCACAAAAATTTTCATTTTCTATTCATTCGGTTAAATAAGAAGTAAAACCGAACCATAAAGCGAAAGCCAAACTTTAACAATTTTAAAACCATAACTAAATTTTGTTTTGTAAACCAAATTGAATCAACCAAATTGGCTTAGTTCAATTCAATTTTTCGGTTTAAACCAAATAATGCACCCACTTTTACATATTACTGAACCTAGTGTAGCAATAACCCTTTTAAACATATAAATGATTGATAAAGTGATATTAATTTCTAGCAAAGAGGACGTGATCAAGGTTTTCCAAAATTGAAGAAAGCATGCGGGCAGTACAAACAAAATCCACCAGCTCAAAATCCTTTTTATATAACAAACAAAAATATGTTCAAGTAACATCTAACTAAATGAAAATTGATACACCTAGTAGGAAAAATAATTAAAACATAAAAGCTAACTTTTAATAATAGAAAAATAGTGTTACAGCACAACTCAATAGAAAATAATAACACAACATACATGACACAAGCAAACACCTCTATGGTGTATTACAAGAATGGAGAGGGTCGACGAGGTGGATTTGGCGGCTTGGGACAGCAAGGGTGAATGCAGAAGAGGGTTTGGCAAGGGTTGGAAGCTGAACTGGAGTAGCAGGCGGCAAGTTAGGGTGGCGAGAAGGTTTTTTGGGCCGTCGGGAGTAGGTTGGAAGGTAAAGTAGCAAGTTGGGAAGGTGGCAAAGCAGCTGGGAAAACTCGCCTACACTTTGGGAGGGTGGATGGTGTGCAGGGAAGTGTAGACAGCAATGGGAAAGGCCGTGAGAATGCGGTTGGTGAGAGAAAACAACAGCTGGAAGAGCTGGCAGCTAGGATGAGTGGAGGAGAAGGGTTAGAGAAGATGAAATGGGAAGATACATTACCACCTCGGATTAGGATACAACCGGAGCACCACTTCCTCCTCAGATACAACCCTACAAAAGAGAAAACTCTCCACAAAATATGACTGCAAACACAACAAAGACTAACTCCCACTCTTAGAGGAAAATAATTTATACTCCTAGAAAACTTCTACACAAATGATAGGGGTGAGAAGGCAAAAAGAATCTAGAGAAAACTTCACGAGTGTGGCAGCATGCGAAGCTTCCCCCCCGGATCGTGATTTTTCTCGCCCAAAGGTTCTCTAGCTCATGTCGCACTTCTTCACAATGGTTCGCGGGTTGGCACCTGCAGCAATTGGCACGGGCCTGTGAGATGTCAGTGCCCCACATTAGAGGCATAGTTAGCACCTGCATCAGTCTCCCTGGGTTGGGGAAGCTTCGACTTCGTAGGCCGAAGCTTCCGTTTTATCATCATCCACCCCTGAATCCCACTGGCAATTGCACTGTCTCCCGAGACACCCGAGGATCTTCTCCCACGCACGAGCAAATATTCACCTCAATCCCATCTTTTGGGACAGCAAGCCCCGCACGTACTGTTGAATTTCTCAAAGTAGATCACAGGCGATTCATTTTTGTGTGTCATGAGGTAACTAGAACCCTCCTGCCCTGTGGTGGAGTTAGCGATTAATTATCGATTATGAGGCCCTGAAATCTTTTCTATCGTATTTGTCCCGTGTTAGAAACCAATATGTCGGTTCACTCATTGTGTCGCCACTAAAACTAGTTCGACTAACGCCTCTCTGCTGATAGGGGATCCTGTGACTTCGGGCTCCATCAAATGAAGTAGGGTGATGCGCTTTTCGTTCTTAGCGGTGAAAGAATATATGTTTCTATATCCATCGTATTGAGTTCTACGGTCAAATCGTCACAGTTGTCCCAATGGAAATCACGTCACACCACACCTGGTTCTGTAGTTGGCCACCGATCAAAAACTCTGGCAAGCATCTTCGACCGATATTAACCTAAGTCTCCTTTAACCATGCTAGCGAATGCGGTTGAAAATGCCTCTAAATGGCCAGTCCCAATTTTTCTACCATTTGTGTCAATGCCACGTTTTTTCTTATCCCACTGTCGATGATGCGGCTGCATACTTTATAGTTTACTATGCAACGGGAGTAGAATATGTTGTGGCGAAGCCACTACAGATCCCTCATGTCCTGGGGTTGCAGGATCCTTCAAATCACGAGTGCTTCTCCTCTGTCTTATGGGAGTTGATACTCCTTGCCTTGTTCCTCAATTTACTTTTCGTTGCTCAACTCTTCCACGACGTCTTGATTTGTGAGAGTGACTACCTTGCTCGTAGGACAGATGGAGACTATGTGGCTGTAGCGATGACATCGGTCAATGTTGGAGCAGCCACCTTTTCCTGTTTCTTCCCGTTTTGATCCGAAGTGTCATTCCCTTGTCCGACCTTGCCCGTGTCTCCCAGGATACCCTTGTCGGTTGTGGTAACAATAGGTGATTGTCTGTCTGAAGAATGATTGTTGCTTGCTCTGCTTCTGTTGTCTTTCCACCTTTAAGGCTAATGTCTGGAGATCTCCCAGCGTCCAGTGCGGTTGCAATTGCACCACATTGCTAATGACAGGCTTCAGTCCCCAAAGATATCATATTATTATATGTTCTTCCATCTCTATCAGTTCGCACTTCAATTGTAAATAATCAAATTGGGCTGTGAATTCCTCCACCGAAAGATCCTCCTGCTGCAAGTTGTGGATTTTCAGAAAGTTATCCTGGTGATAGTGGGGTGGGAGGTACTTTTTCTGCATTGTCCTCTTCATCTTCTCTCACTTAATTATCTTCTCATTGTGTTCTCTTTTCCTTTGTAAATTTTCCCACAGTAAAGATGTATTTTTTTTTTACTTTATTGGCGGCTAGCTTGACTCGTTTGTCCATTGGTACATCTTTATATTTGAAAACCCGTTCGACTGATTGTAGCCAGTCGATAATCTCATCGGGGTCCATACCTCCCTCAAATTCTAGGAGGTCCACCTTCATGCCAAAGTCCCGTTGTGACCTCCATAAGGTGTTTTTCTCTCAGTCTCTTTTGATATTGAATACCAAAACGGTGTCGGTGATATTCCTAGTCATTATGATCTTCCCTATGAATCGGATTTAGATCCACCTCCCTATCTTCCCCTCAACTTTCCTGATCACGATCGAAGGTAATCTCTTCCTGGTTCCCGTCATCTAACTCGAATAGTCTTCATTGCAGAAGACGAATTTCTAGTTGAATCTCTTCCCGAGTAGGGTCTGGTGCATCTCTCCACAGTGACATGGTTAGGGTTGGGGATTAGAAGGAAAAAAATTTGGGTGGATGTGACTTGGGTGGGGTGCATGTGACTTGGGTGGGAGTAAAAAGCGGGGAAGGTGGGACAACAGCTGGGAAGACTCGTCGACACTTTAGGAGGGTCGACGGCGAGCGGGGAAGTGCAGGAAGAAATGGAAAAGGTCGTAGGAGTGCGGTTGGTGAGGGAAAACAGTGGCAATAACAGCTGATAGCAAGTCGATGACTCTGATGAGTGAAGGAGATGGGTTAGGGAAGATGAAAGGGAAAGATACATCACCGCCTCAAAGTAGGATAAAACCAGAGCACCACCATTTCTTCGGATATAGCCCTAAAAAAAGAAAAACTCTCCACACAAGAAATCAGAAAGCAAACATAGCAACGACTAACTCCCACACACAGAGGACAACAATTTATAAACTCCTAGAAAATTTCTAAAAAAAGACAAGAGGGAAGGCAAGAAGAATCCAGAGAAAACTTCAAGGGTGCAGCAGCATGCCATGCTTCCCTCCCGAGTCGCGATTCTTCCCGCCCAAGGGTTCTCCCGCTTTCGCGCTTCTTTGCGATGGTTCGCAGGTCTCCCGCGGCAATTAATGCCAGGGCCCGGGCGCTGTTAGCGCCCCGCTTTAGGAGTACAGTTAGCATCCGCGTAAAAAATACAATCATATAGTATAGCACAACTTATTATTACACATCAAAAAAGAACAAATCAGCAAGTTCACAGTAATCACATTAACACTCAAATGAACATTCAGTAATGCATGAATCCTGGATTCCATCTCGTAGATGACGATTTCAATAAAGAATCACTACATATAAGAACAATGAAAATCTGCTATCTGGGGATAAGAGAAAAGATTGATATTTGAAGAGAAATAAATTGAGAGTTCAGGAACGAGCTCAGCTCGATGTACTCTAGAAGGAAATTGGAGAAAAAAGATCACAGCAAAGAATTAACACAGAATTATACTGGTTCAGACTTACGTCTGCTGTACCAATAGCCAAGAGAAATATTGACAAGGGAGATTTACATGCATACCACTTAATTCTTATGTATTTACATATCTAACACCTAAACATAAATTTTTAAATGCATGCCAACATAACTGTGAATGAACATGTGTATTTCACATTTTAAAAGTTAAAATAGTAGTATTTTTCATGCGATATGAAATATTTGATTGGTATAAATGTAAAACAGCAAAGTTTTGATGTTAGATATGTAAATACATTAGAATTGGGTGGTATGCATGTCAATGCACCTCATCACAATAGCAAAGAATCGGGCCACATGATAAGTTTTACTGCCAATGCAAAAGCTATCAGGTTAATACAAGAGAATACACATGCTTAAAATCTTCTGAGAGGCCTCGCAAATTTTTTGCTATTATTTAATTATTTTATCAAGTAGTATCTCTGATACGAGTTGCAAATTTGAAGGATTATAGGGATTACAACATTTACCGTTGAAATCATAAGACTAGTCTACCTAAGACTTAACTATTTTACTTTTGCAACAAGTTGAGGGGAGAGCCTAAACCAACTACTGTCGCAATTAACTAATTCTTAAGAGTGATGAGAAACCAATCATGCAGCCAAACAATAAATTGCATTCACAACTATTAATATTTTTAATATGCTTTTTTTTTTCCTTTTGGTTGCTTCAACATGCAAGAGCACAGCTGCATGAAAATCTATAATGGCACTGTTCCCTTAATTCAAAAAAATGTATTAGCAAAAATGAGCCTTTTGCAAGTGGTGTTCGCTAGCAGGCAAAGCCCTATAAAGTAATTAAAAAGACTGCTACAAAGACTATAATCAAAAACAAATTTTTTATTTCCAGGACATCACAGAATGTGAAAAATGTCTACTATATTCAAGCAGGCTATTGATAAAGTTTTATTGAGAAATCTCAACAAATAGTAAAAGGAGAATGTGTCTGATTATCCGAGCAACATTATCACAGTAGAAATAACATGAGTAATGAAAGGCCCACAATGTCTACTTAAGAATGCTCCAAGTCACATCAATGGAGTCCCTCACCTTTCCATTTTAACTGAGTTGAAACTAATAACCAGGGTGCATAAAGAAGATCAATTACATACCTTTAGCAATCATCTAACAGTTCAAACAAGCTATGAAGCAGATTCCATATTCACACCTAGAAGATGAAGAATGAACGGGACCTGAAAAAGTCAAACTGAAAATGGTCTAAAACAATTTTAAGGAATCAGCAGGAAATTCCCACCATCCTGAATTATACATTTGGAGAAGCATTTCCACTAAAAGTAACTCCAGATTAACAAACATACTGTAGAACACAGTGCCTTGCCTTCCACCATCTTAGTAACATGAAGTAAGGAAACTGTATCTTTTTATATTCCTCTCACAGATACGGCAGATTATGTAGATTACCAAGAACATCCTCTGTAGCATCTAGATCAATATCAAAGTGAGAAATACCCACCCCCGTACCAGTGTATGCTTCAGAGCCTCTTGCTCCCCGGATCTCAGCTCCCTCATTTCTCGATTCGTTTACTCCAGTTAAAAATGACTTTTTGGAGTAGTTCCCAACTCTTTTTTTGGCAACAGCCTTTTTATTTCTCGCCGGCGTGCTCCTCGCCACATTCCCCTTCTTCCCAGCATTCGAATCAACATTCTGGTTGGCGGCTGCAAAGTTCACAGGCACAGCATTCAAGGGCTTCTCCGGCTGACCTCCCCGTTGGTTTCCCCACACCGGGCTAATGGGAATGAAGGGCTTCCACCCATCGCCAAAATCCGGCAACACTACAGAGCCTGAATTCGAAAGACCGCCAAAAGCCGGACCGCCACGAAATCCCAGAGGGAAAAATCCCCACGCGCAGTAGTACATATCTGTGCCAGGCACCAAAGGCGGCTTCGTCGCCATCTCGGTAGCATGAAAGGGTTGCTGGCAGGTTCGACATCGAAGAAAACGGTTTAGATACGAGTGATCGTACTCAAAAACGTGACAGCAAGAGGGGCAGGAGGTCCAAAAGGTCCGAACCGGCCGTCCCGCCCCTTCTTCAGCAGCGCCGTTTGATCGGAGATGGGAAGCAGCTATCTGGATCTCGGAATCCAGCAGGGATTTTTTCACGGGGTCAGATAGGACTGCATAAGCATCAACGACGAAACGTAAGGCAAGGCTAGCGAGTGGGGATCTGTTTCGATCCGGGCTCAAGAGGAGGACGAGGCGACGGTAGCTGCGCTTGATGGCGAGGGAATCTTCGTTTCCACCACCGCCGCCGCCGGCGGAGTTGGATGAGGAAGGATGTGGGAGCTGGAGGATAGAGTAACAGTCCATCTGGTTATTAACACGGTGTTGGGAAGCGAGAAGCACATCGATCACGGCGAGTGTCAGGTCAACGCCGTCAAGGAGGGGATCGGATTCAAGGGCGCGCTCGGCAAAGCGTTTGCTGCCGACGAGATCACGAGCTTCGAGCAGCTTCTCGGCGATCTCGAGGAGACGCCGCGCCTCCAGCCCGCCTCCGCCGCCGGGATCCATGATGATTCCTAGAAAACTGCGGGTGATGAAATGGCCGCTTCTCTGCAAAGTAGGGTTTTTTATTTATTTCTTTTCAGTTGTCTGATCCAGTGGATTTAGGAAGTAAGAAAGGTTTGTGTGCTGGAAATTGAAGGCAACGAATTCTGCAGCTGATCCAGTGGATTTTAGTAAATTTTATGAATACAAATTTAGTAAATTCTCTCTCTCTCTCTCTCTCTCTCTCTCTCTCTCTCTCTCTCTCTATATATATATATATATATAATATAATGATGTTCGGTTAATTTAGTTATTTCTTTAAAATTTTAACATTAATTATTAACGGTGAAATAACGGAGGTCATATTTTAATAACTTATTAATTTGTAAAAATATTAAGTTAATTTAATATAACAGTTTTATGTGATCATTAAGTTGCAAGTAATACTTTTTATGAATCTATTTTTATTAATTTTAAAAAAAAATTATTTATTTAATTATTATGTTTGTATCTAATTCATTTTATTGATTATTAATAATGTTTAACTAACTGACCTGTGAGAGAAAAATTTTTGCGGTGGAGTAATGAATTATCGTCTTGGTGTTGACGAAAATTAAGCATACACTAAGGTGAAATAGAATAACCAGTAATGACAACGAAAATTTTTATGTGGAAAAACCTATTAAGGGAAAAAATCACGGGGTGTGGCCCGATTGTAAAAATCAACTATATGTAGATGATTAGAAAAATCTCTTATTCCACAGAAGACAAGAGTTACTAAATTTTTCAAGTTACAACGTTGACTGACGATGTTTGGTTGGCGGATGTTGACAATTGGTGGTGATTGACGATGGTTGGTGGTTGTCGCCGGCAGTCGATAGTGGTCGAAAGCAATCGGCGGATGTCGACAATGGTTGGCGGTTGTCGAGGACGGTCGGCAGTGGTCGACGACGATCGGCGGCTCTCAACTACTATCGGCGACAATCAACAGCTATTGTCGAAGATCGACGGCGATTGAAAATGGTAGGAATGGTGGTGGACTTTAGCTCCTTCTCAAAGGATCATGTTTTCTCTCAAGGCTCAAGCTCCCCCCTTATGTGTGGGGTGAGACTGTTTTTATAGTATTTCGGGTGCAATTAATGCAGATATTTCCAGAAGAGTTATCTTTATTTGTCCATCCTAGAATTTCTGGGTTGGTTGTGAATTTTTCCAAATTACAACATTCAACAAGAATAACAGCAGTAGTTATATTGCTATTCAGCACTTGTCGGTTTTGAATAAGTCTTATCCCTAATTCATGTATATTAAAAGTACTTTTTGTATTTGCTAACTTTTTATATTTAGATTGGAATATATTTTTGAAAAGTTTGATTTTTTCTAACTGGTTTTGGTTTAATTCTATATACTAACCAGTTCGTTAGATATAATTTATGAGTATAATCCTAATTAAATAATGTATAAATATTCATCGTATCTCCACGTAGGGCTATCAAAAAAGCTCGTTGTTCGCAAAAAGTTCATGTACGGTTCTTCAATGAGTTCATGTTCTATTCATTCGATAAGTAAACGAGACGAACGTGAACAAATTTTTTCCATTCGGTTTGTTAAATGAACCAAACACGAACAAACGCAAACACGAACAGTGGTGCGCTTGTTCGTGTTCGAATCGTTATTGTTCGAAATATAAAATAATTTAAAATAATTATATATAAAAAATTTATGATAATTTAAAAAATTAAATTTTATAAATTATAATATATAATAAATTAATAATACTAATAATATATTAATATACTGTATTAGTAATATACTAATATAGATATTATATATTTATATAATATAAGTTATATAATTAATACCTCCTTAGCGCGGTTTTGGTTCGCGAACAGTTCGTGTTCGGCTCGTGTTCGGCTCGTTCGTTAAAAAAACAACCACAAAATTCACGAACAATTTCGAACACGAGCTTATTTCAAACAAACTAAACTTCAAACAAACCAAACACGAACACAAGCTCTGTTCGTTCGTGTTCGGTTCGTTTACACATCTATCTCCACATGGGTCTACGACTTATATGGTCTACATCTCGTGCATCTGCCAAATCTGGCCCCTACGATTTACAAAAGTCATCACAACTCAGAACTACTACCTACATGAACAACTACAATCTACATGGTACATAGCTTGTGCGCTCCCGACTCTGACCCTTGTAGCGTACGAATGTTTTCAAAGACCACTACTATGCCCTATGTGACTGACTATGGCCAAAGTGGTCCACAACTCATCCAGCTCTTGACTCTGGGCTCTGTGACCTACAAACATTATCACAACCACCACTATGACCCATGTGACCAATTACAACCTGCATATCCAACTACGACCTATGTGGCCCAACCTCATGCATTTCCCGACTTTGGCCCCTACAGTTTACAGATGTTATCACGATTCACAACCCATTATTACAAACTACGTGACCGATTGCAGCCTCATGGTCCACAACTCATGCATCCCGGCTCTAACCCATGTAGCCTGCAAACATCATCACAGCTCGCCATGATGGCCGACAAGACAAACAATGTGCTACATTCGCCCCAACTCATGCATTTCCCGACCCGACCCCTGCAACCTACGAACGTCATCACAACTCAACACTATGACCTCCATGATTAACTAAAACCTATGTTGTCCACAGCTCGCACATCTTTCAACTCTGATCCTTGCATCCTATGGACGTCATCGTAGCCCACCACTACAGTAAACATGATCACCTAGGGCCTATGTGGTCCACAACTTGTGCAGCTTCGGATTCTGACCTTTGAGATCTATGAATATTATCACAACCCACCACTATGTCCTACCTGACCAACTAAAGCATGTGTGGCCCACAACTCATGCATTTCATGACTTCGATCCCCACTACATACACACGTCAACGCATCTCACCTTTATGAACTATGTGACCAACTATGACCAACATGTCTCAAAGCTCCTAAGACTTCCTACTATGACCTCTATAGCCAACCGATGCCTCTAAAGCAACCGTATGCAGCTTACACGACCAATCACCACCATAGCTTTCAACTACAGCTTACATGACAAGCTGGTGATATGGATACCATCGACAACATTCACGATGAACTTCTATCTCTATAGAAATTGACTACGGCCATTGGAACATGTCATCACCAAAATCTACTGTCTGACTACAATTATTATCGATGCAACAATTGTACATTTACACCAATTAACTTTGTAACTCTATATTTTCTAATTAAGGAAAAGATTGTACCAGTGTACTCATCATTCATAGTGGATTGTCTAAACTTGGCTAGTCCCCATGGTTTTCCAAGTAAAATTCAAGATGTCTATTTCTGCTTACTGTTCTTTTATTATCTGAGTATGGTGGAGTCTCATATGATGCTAAGATGCTAATTCTTTACTCTACAGCTGTGAATGTTCCAACATGCATTAAAAATAATATTCATCATAGCACTTGAATTAATTTTTATTCAATTTGCTGAATATCTCTAAATTTTGATTGGATTTAGTTAAGACAATTATACAAAAAAAAAGTTATATTAATATAAATTAGTTGTTAAGATAGCAAGGATTGGACGTGATTTTAAGTTTCTTTAATAATAAACGCTATGAGCTTATTCAAAATTTAATGTTTAACACTTATATATGTGATATATCCTATATTAATCAAACCGCATATATATATATATATATTTGTCGGTT